GGCTGCCCAGGAGACACCCCGGACGCTCCAACAGGCCTCCAAGAGCATTCCCGAGAGGGCCCCAAGAGCAAAATTCAGCGATTTCCCCTCAATGTTTGAAAGCTTTGGGTGCTCTCGCCTTCTCCGCTTCCCGCCGCTCCAAGACGGTCGACGAGGCCCCCAAGACCGCCCCAAGTCAGCCCAGGAGGGCCCCAAAAAATCCCAAGAGGACCCTAAGACAGCCCAATACGCATCCAAGACGACCCGAGAGGCCCCCGAGACGGCTCCAAGACCAGCCCAGATGGATGACCCGAAGGGACAGTTCGAGCCCTCGGCCCGGAGAGGCTCCCAGGAGGCCCCAAGAGGTTCCCGAGAGACCCCAAGAGGCCCCTGGGAAGCCCGAAGAGGCCTCCAAGAGGCCCCCAAGAGGCCCCCAAGAGGCTCCCAAGAGGCTCCCCAAATTCCTCCATAAGGGGCCCCCGAGAGCCTTCCCAAGAGACCCCATGAAGCATCCCTGAGGACTGCCCACGTCAGCGTCATCGTCGTCGTCGTCGCCCCCTTCGGAACAACACCCTCCGAGGCAAACGTCCGAAACCTCCCACCACCGCTTTCCCTGATCACGAGGTACCCCCAAAAACCTCCGAGGAGACGGGACCAGTACTGAATTGGGCCCACAACACAGCGAGCATCTTCCCACGTAAAATGTCGACGCCGGCTCAGATAATCTTCGGCGAATATGACCCCTGTCTTGGTCCATTTTTGAAACCCTCTCAAAATCTTCTTCGGGTCTTCCCCAGCCCCGACTTCGGATCCGCCATACCTTGGTGGGTTTCGCAAGTAGGGCGGACATGTCAACCCCGCTTGTTGAGTTCCTTTGGTGCCGATGTCCGCCCTATTTTGCCGTCGCTCTTTTCGCCACACCTTTGCGGAAGTGTCCGCGCTATCTCTTCCTGAGGTGGACATTTCCGCCATACTGTTTCGCATTGCTTGGGGCGCATGTCTGACACAATCCCAAGTCGGAAAGTCAACCAAAGTACGGCGGATCCGATGTCAGGGAATACTCGACTGGGTTCGTAAAGAGCCCCACACAGGCCCGCTAGCCCTCCATGAAGGCTCTCTGAGGGCCTCGGAGCGTCCACCCACAAGCATATAGTATGTTTCTCAGGGGTTCCGCCTCTTAAGGCCTTTTTCGACGCCTCCAGAGGCCGTTGGGCCATCTTGAGTTTCTCGGAGCCTTCTTGGGGCGACCTCAGAGCTCTCTTCGGGTCTGCCAGCAATTTCCCGGAGGCCCCGCGAAGCTGAGGAGGTGTTCCAGAGCACTGCATCCTGCCTCCTTCTTAGGCCACGACGCCGCTCTCACAAAACATATATTCTTGCACATCTCCGTCTCTTGGACCAGGTCCAGCTCCTTTCGGGCTCTTGCAGGGGCTTGTTTGCTACGTTGCATGCTGCTACGCTGCGTGCTGCTACACTTCCCTTGTCGAGGCATGCCGCCCAAGCATCTTTGCTGGATGGGCTGATAGGGGATACTTTTTGTTTTATATCTGCGGCCCGCAAGGAAAAGTCCAGAGGGCGGTAAGAGGCAAAGGGGCGCAATGCCAGAAGATTACCATGCAAAACCACTGGGCGGATGCCAGCGGAAGAGAGCTGCCACAGGTGGACAACAAACGAACACAAGCCAGACCCGCAGGTGGGGAAACCTGACCTGTGGCCGGAAGAAAAGCAGGACCACTGGGCAGATGCCAGAGGGCTGAGGGCACCAGAAGGCACCGCACACGCCAGGCTGGCAGGGAAACCTGCCAAGACGGCGACAGCACGGCCAAAGCCAGACGGAACAGAAAATTAAGGCCGAGCAGGACGCGCGGGCAGGTGCCACGCGGCCCGACAGCTCGAGGCCAAGTGCGCATGAACTGATGGGGATACGCGAAACATCACGAATTCAGGGGCTGCTTCAGGCAAAAATGACTGCACAACTTGGAAAGACCCTGCAAGAACTCAGCAAAACCTGCAGTACCCGATGAGACCCTTCGACAGCCCAACAACACCCTGCACTGCCCCCCTGCTCGGCGCACCTGTTTGAAAACCTCTCTTGAGCCTCGGTGCTCTGTGGAGCTCCTCCAGCATCTTCCAGCAACGCCCGAGACGGCTCGAAAGAGACCCGAAAACGCTCCATGAAGCTGACGGCAAGACTAAAACAACAACCAACGAAAACAGGAATGTGAGGGCTTTTCCGTTTGAGTCGTCGTCATCGTTGTCGCTCCCTTTCTGCCTGCGCCACCTTGGGCCCTTCCCCCTCAAGCGCGCCAGCCCGAAGGAAATCGAGCAACGTCGTAATGGAGTAATGTCGTCATCGACTCAAAGGGAAGCCCCTTCCCTTTGATTCCTCCCCCGTCGGGGGGTGGAGGGAGGTGGGGGGGGGTCCCGGGGGGGCGGGTCCTGGGTCAGATGCCCATCCGCCCCTTGGCATTCCGCGGCTCCCCTGGGGGTCTCGGGGCCGCACGAAATACCAAGACAGACCAAGAGTGCCCCAAGATGCCCCCGAGACGCGCCAAGAGGGTCCCGAATCGCCAAACGATCGGTCCAAAATGCCTTCACGCCTCCAGACTGTCCAGGAGACCTCGACAACGCCCCATGAGGCCTCCAAGAGCGCTCCAGAGAGTGCCTCAAGAGGAAACAATCATTGATTGTCCTACGCTCTTTGAAGATTTGGGAGTTCACACCTTTTCCGCTCCCCGCCGCTCAAGACGGCCGAAGAGGCAAGAGCGCTCCAAAACAGTCCAAGAGGACCCCAAGACAGCCCCAAACGCGTCCAAGACAGCCCAAGAGGCCCCCGAGACGGCTCCGAGACACCAGACGGGGGACCCGAAGGGACAGTTCGAGCCCTCGGCCCCGAGAGGCTCCCAGGAGGCCCCAAGAGGTTTCCAAGAAGCCCGAAGAGGCCCCTAGAAGGCTCCCAAGAGGCTCCCGAAAGGCACCCAAGAGACACAAATTCTTCCTCGCAGGCCCCCGAGAGCCTTCCCAAGAGACCCCGAGAAGTATTCCTGAGGAATCTGGCCCACGTCAGCGTCGTCGTTGTCGTCGCCGCCGCCGCCGACGTCGTCGTCGTCGTCCCCCTTCAGGGTCGGCGGCAACGGCCGTAAGGCCTTCGCAATCAGGACGGGAGGTTGCTTTCAACCTTGGGCCTCTAGGGACCCTTACTGGGCCCTGGACCGTCGAAAAACGACTCGGGATTAAACCCCGGTCCCACGGAAAGGGAGGAGGGGGAGGAGGAGGAGGAGGAGGAGGAGGAGGAGGAGGAGGAGGAGGAGGAGGAGAAGGAGGAGGAGGAGGAGGGGGAGGAGGAGGAGAAGGAGGGGGAGGAGGGGGAGGAGGAGGAGGAGGAGGAGGAGGAGGAGGAGGAGGAGGAGGAGGAGGGGGAGGAGGAGGAGGAGCAAGACAAATCCAGACATCGCACGTCTGCGAACAAGAAGCCGCGGCACCGCGGAGAAGCGCGAACGGAACACCAGCTTCCATCTTCCTGCAGCATCATCCGAGCCAGCTCGATCTGTGATGGTCACGGGGGCCGACGCCGGGCGGCAACACCGGGCGCGCAAGCCTGCGACGTCCGACCAGACTTCGCTCAGAATCTATCCCCCGACCCCTCCAGGCGTCCGCCCTGACCAGTACTTCGAGCTGCGTCCAGCCGTGGCGACGAGAGCCTCCAGAAACGCCACAACACCTCCGAAACGACGACGACGACGACGACGAAGAAGACAAAAACGAAGACGACGACGACGACGGCGACGACGACGACGATCGACCCTCCCAAAGGCCCTCGATAGGCACGCCGACGCGGTCGCACAGCGCGGCCAGCCTCGCAAGCAGCTGCGCGCGCGAGTCAACCGGCAATTTGCCCCCGTGGCCCCCCTGGTCGCGCAGCTCGCCGGTCGCCGGGCTGTAGACCAGCCTCGTCACCTTCACGAGGAGGAGGAGAGGAGGAGGAGGAGGAGGAGGAGGAGGAGGAGGAGGAGGAGGAGGAGGAGGCGGAGGAGGATGAAAAGGAGGAGGAGGAGGAGGAGGAGGAGGCGGAGGAGCAGGAGGAGGAGGAGGCGGGAGGGGGGGGGAGGAGGAGGAGGAGGAGAGGAGGAGGAGGAGGAGGAGGAGGAGGAGGAGGAGGAGGAGGAGGAGGAGGAGGCGGAGGAGGAGGGGAGGAGGAGGAGGAGGAGGAGGCGGAGGAGGAGGAGGAGGAGGAGGAGGCGGAGGAGTAGGAGTAGGAGGAGGAGGAGGAGGAGGAGGAGGGAGGAGGAGGAGGAGGAGGAGGAGGAGGAGGAGGAGGAGGAGGAGGAGGAGGAGAGGAGGAGAAGGATGAGGAGGAGGAGGCGGATGAGGAGGAGGAGGCGGAGGGGGGGGAGGAGGAGGAGGATGAGGAGGAGGAGGAGGAGGAGGAGGAGGAGGAGGAGGAGGAGGAGGGAGGAGGAGGAGGAGGAGGCGGAGGGGGGGGGGGGGGGGGGGGGGGGGCGAGGAGGAGGAGGAGGAGGAGGAGGCGGAGGAGGAGGAGGAGGAGGGAGGAGGAGGAGGAGAAGGAGGAGAAGGGATGAGGAAGGAGGAGGGGGGGAGGGGAGGGGAGAAGGGAGGAGGAGGAGGAGGAGGAGGAGGAGGAGGAGGAGGAGGGTAGCGTTCGGAAAACCCACATGTCATCAGGAACCAGGAACCATTGGGTCATGCCAGAAAACATCACGACGGAGCATGTACGGCTATTTTGAAGACCTCTGGGGGCGCGGGGCCTCGGGACCCGCAAGAACTGCTCGTTTGGAGCACCGGTCCCGAGGAATGGGTCGAGACCTCTGGGGGTCGACGTCATGGAAAACTCATGGCATGAAAGGCTCGGGCTTACAGAGGTCTCTCACATTGGGTCCGAGTTCGGTGGGGGCATTCGTTAAGGATTACGCCCAAGAGTGAAGAACTCCTTCTCTGATGAGGGAGAGAGAGAGAGAGAGAGAGAGAGAGGGCGCCATGCACGTCAAAAGTGCGTTGGCAATAATGTGGCCAAACCTCAATTGGTGTTCCGCCGGCTTCCAGACCCTAAATTCATTATCTAAGGGCTCCTTATCCAACAACTTCACCGTAGATGGGGTCGGAAGAACCTCGACCTGCACCTTCCGTACCTTCCGTGCTGAAGGTGCCGCCGCCATGTGGCCGTGGCGGCCACCGCTGCGGCCTCGACTTTGGCCGCCGCTGCGGCCGCGGCGGCGGCCGCGGCAACGCGGCACCTGCCGCGCGGACCGTGCGGAAGGTGCAAGTCGAAGGGATCGCGCCGTGCATCGGCGATGCGCCGTCGACGTCGGCGATACATCGCCGTCTTCGGCGATGAGAAAATCGGGATCCACATCGAGCCACCTTGGCGATGCATCGGCGATGCGGCGCGTTCCTCCGACGCCATCTACTCCGACCCCATCTGGGATGTCTCTACAGGATGGGAATGGTTTTCTCCTAACGCCACCACATTGTCCAACGCCGAATACCAGCAATAATTATGTAAGCGATGATTGCACAATGCGATACAATGACCGAACACACTGCGCTTCGGATGATATCACCGAAGACAACTCATTGAACGACCGCTGATACGGAAGTGGGGAAGTATGGAAAGATCGTGAAAGAGGAGGGGGAGGAGAAGGAGGAGGAGGAGGAGGACGAGGAGGAGGAGTAGGAGCAGGAAGAGGAGGGGGTGGGAACGCGAGGAGGAGGGGGGGAGTAAAAGGAGGACAATGAGCTCGTGTAAGATGTAGTCGGGTGCCAGCGCTCGAGACCGGGCAAATTGCGGAGATTCCCCTTGATACGCGCGCGATATGCCAGTTCGAGCCAGGAACGTCCCCGCCAAACCATGGCAAGTCAAGCAAATTGGGAGGAGGACCTCTCGAGCGAAACCGCGCCGAAGGAAGGTGAAACCAGGCAGATTGCGAGGACGTCTCAGGCGAGACCGGGCCGAAACCAAGCGAAACCAGGGGCGAGACCGAGCACATTGCGAGGATGTCTCAGGCCGTATGCGCCGCACCAGTCGAAACCACGGGCGCAGTCGGGCAAATTGTGCGGACGTTCTGAGCAGAATCACCGAAACCAGGCCCCATCCACTCTCCTTCATACGCTTTTGCATACAGGAGTGGATGACCCAGGGAGGCCCCCCGCAGAGGCAGGAGGAGGAGGAGGAGGAGGAGGAGGAGGAGGAGGAGGAGGAGGAGGAGGAGGAGGAGGAGGAGGAGGAGGAGGAGGAGGAGGAGGAGGAGGAGGGGAGAAGGAGGAGGAGGAGGAGGAGGAGGAGGAGGAGGAGGAGGGGGAGGAAGGAGGAGGAGGAGGAGGAGGAGGAGGAGGAGGAGGAGGAGGGGAGGAGGAGGAGCGGGAGGAGGAGGAGGAGGAGGAGGAGGAGGAGGAGGAGGAGGGGGAGGAGGAGGAGGAGAGGAGGAGAAGGAGGAAGAGGAGGAGGAGGAGGAGGACGACGAGGAGGAGGGGGAGAAGGAGGAGGAGGAGGAGGAGGAGGAAGTGGAGGAGGAGGAGGAGGAGGAGGAGGAGGAGGACCATCTGGTTTCTTGGTGCACGCCCTGACTGTGCACGCACGTAGTGCCAACTTGCCCGGACATGCGAAAGGGGGCCGGGAAGACGTGCGGCCAAAGGTGTCATTCCAGCTCTGGCTCTGGCCCGTCACGTCATGTCACTCGTGCCCAGGAGGGGTCCACGAAGCTCCCGCAACAGGCCTAGAAGGGCGCTCTAGAGTGCTCCACAAGGGCCATGGCGGCTTTCCGTATATTGTAATGGTGCCGCCCCAGAGCTTCCTTACTGTGGAGGGCGCCTGGATCGGGGGCCAGTCGCGTCATGTGTATCCAGATTCCCGGGCACATCTGCATGAACGTGTAACGTTTCGGAGGTTCGTGCAGATTTCTTGGTTCAGCGCTGGAACCCCGGCCCGCGGGGCGCGCCAGAGGAGGCGCCGCCTAGGGGGCCCTGCGCCGACCCAAGGAATCCTGCTGCCGCAGGCTGTTCTGCGCTCACCAGCATGGGGCAGCGGTACTTGCCAGTGAGGGTGATCGTCTTCTGCAACTTCCCCCGCGTGCAGGCGTAGCTGAAAAAAGCCTGTCGGTACTCGTCGTCCTCTTGGTTCTGTGCAGAGGGGGGGTCTTTCGCAATGGGGTCGCACAAACAATTCAATCGCTCATCCTGTGGCTCATGGCGCGGGGCCCCTCTCACGGACCAACGACGCCACATGCAACGCATCCTGCCCTATCCATCACGACCCAGCACGAACGATTGCACAAACAATTGCGCACATCCTCGAGGCCCCCTTTTCAGAGGACCCAGCCGCCCGAGTCCGATCCCCAAACATGCGACGTCCTGATTCTTTCAATACGGGGCCCCTGGAAATCCAGACCCTCTCCCCGGGACCGGTTCTTCATCCCGAGCCGTTCTTGCACGGCCCCGAGGCCCGGCGAGGGCTCCCCGCGAGACCGAAAACTGGCAAAAACCTCCCGCTCGTTTTTTTTTTACGACGCGATCATGTCCCCAGACATGCGACGCCCTGATTTTTTCAAGACGGCGTCCCTGGAAGTCCAGACCCGTTCCCTGGGGCCGGTTACTCGTCCTGAGTCGTTTTTGACGGTCCCGGGGCCTGGCGAGGGCCCCGGCAAAAACCTTCCGCCAGGATTTGTTTTAACTTTGACCTAGAGGTCCGATGTCATGATTTTTTCGTTGCGCGGTCCTGCAGAAGTCTCGACCCCTTCTCCAGGACCGGTTCTCCATCCTGACGGTCCCGGGGCCCGGCGAGGGCCCCCAGAGGCCGAATATGGCCGAACATTCGGAAAAACCTCCGTCTCGACTTTTCCAATGCCTTGGATCTCTGGGTACACGACGCCATCCCAGACATGCGACGTCCTGAGTTTTTCAGGGCGGCGTCCCCTCAAGTCCCGACCCTTTCCCCGGGACCGGTTTTTCGCCCTGCGAGCCGTTTTTGGACGGCCCTGGGGCCCGAACGAGGGCCCCCTGGGGCCGAAAATACCCGAAAACCACCCGTCCTACTTTTTCTTACGACGCCATCCTCGTCCGCCGAGCCAGCCCCGCCGGGCCCCGCCGGGCCCCCGGCGCCCAGCCGGGCCTGCCGCTCCCCGGGCCGCTGTGCCCCACTGGGCCGCGGGGCGCCCGCGCGCAGGCTGCCGCCGGGGCCCCGCGCCGCGGCCGCGCCCGCGAGAGCGGGGGCGGAGCTGGGCAGGGCGGGGTCCTCATAAGTGGGGCAGCGAAGGGTCCCAGACGTTATGTGGGTCCTTATGTGGGGCGGGGTCCTTATGTGGGTCCTTATGGGGTGGCGTCGTATAAAAAAAACAAGACGGGAGGTCTTTCGCTGTTGTCGGCCCCTAGGGGCCCTCGCTGGGCCTCGGGACCGTGAAAAAAGGACTCGGGACGAAAAACCGGTCCTGGGGAAAGGTTCTGGACTTCCGGGGACGCCGTCCTGACAAAAATCAGGGCGTCGCATGTCTGGGATGACATGCGATCGCATCGGGGAACAAAATCAGGACGGGCGGTTTGGGGCCATGCTCGGCCCCTGGGGGCCCTCGCCAGGCCTCGGGACTGTGAAAAAAGGACGCGGGACGAAAAACCGGTCCTGGGGGAAAAGGGTCGGGACTTGCGGGGACGCCGTCCATAAACAATCAGGACGTCGCATGTCTGGGGAGCGTTCTCTTATTCGGCGTTTCGACATTTGGCGGAAGGGGGGGAAAGGGGGGGGTTCTGGCTCTGGGCCTCTGCTCAGTGCGACTGTTTACAGCCGTGCGTCCTGCGGGGGAGGCTCCGCCTGCCTGAAACAAGCGCCACCAAAAACAGCCAAGGTCTACTCCATGAAGGGGAGGGGATGGGGGGGTGCGAGGGACCGCACTGGTCGGCAAAACGATGAGTAAAAAACAACCGCGTAGATATAGAAACTCGGAGGTCCGCGCGGACCTCCGAGTCTTTATGTTTATGCCAGTCTTCCGTCCCCTGGTCCTCCGCAAGGAGCGCCGCCAGCTCTGGGCTGATCTCGGGAGGGGTGGCCAAGTCCACTCGCCAGTTGCTGGGGCCTCCTCGCGCCGCAGCTCCGGCGGCGAGCGCGGGGCGCGCCGCAGCGCCGCTCGAGCTCGAGGCCCTGTGCTGAGCAGAAGCCGCGCTCATCTCAGGAGGATTCGCTCCATCCCGCTCCTTGTTGTAGCCGGCATCCCCCTTGTACTCCACGACCACAGTGTCGCAAGCCTCTGCGTACCAGCTCTGCTCGACGCACACCAGGCCATGATGTCCCTCGTGGGCCAGGGGGGACCAGCCCAGCTGATGTCGGATCCAGCCCCCGCTCGGGTCGCGCTGCAGCTCGACCACGTGCTCGCCGTGGAAGAGGCCCCTGCCATTGTTGACGGCGCTCAGGCGTGGCTCCAGCTTGACCTGCCACGCGTCCTTCGGCTACACGCAAGAGTGACCCTGGGTAAGAGTGACCTTTGGTGCGCGGCTTTTGGGGGGCCGCGAGGGGGCCAAACACAGGCGCGCAAGGCGCCACTGCCGCCTCGCGTTCGGCGATCGGGGGACCCCACTTGGCCCGCACCAAAGGTCACTCCGGCGACAGGTCACTCTTACGTCTAGTCGAGTCCTGGCCCTCGGGCAGCGCCACCGACCACGTCTGGGCCGCCGGACCGCCGCCCAGCGCCAGCGCCATGCACATCGGCAGCGCGTCGCCGCAGGGGTACTGGAACCTCGCCGCGCGGGAGAGGCCGGCCCTGGAGGCCACGGGCCCTGGATCCCCAGGGGGGCCGTCCCCGGGAACAGCTCGAGGACGGAAAGCGCCGCTGTAGTCTCTTGGGCACATGGGGCGAAGAAGAAGGAGAAGAAAAGGAAGGCGAAGACGGCCATTTTCCAGAAAGCCGCCAGCGTGGGTGCCCGGTGCAATCCGTAGCCATTAGTTCACTTTACCACCACCAGGCGGTCCACGCCGGGGGCGCTTCCCGTCATCCGCCACAGTGACCCCTGGCAGGTTGAGGCGTGGAAAGGATGCCAAGGTCTGTCTGGTATGGTGTTTTTGAGTTCTAAGAAGACGCGGCCCCCCTCCTCTTCCTCCTCCTGCTCCTCCTCCTCCTCCTCCTCCTCCGCCTCCTCCTCCTCCTCCCTCTACCCGCAGACTGCCGGGTGCATTCCCCTACTCACCGAGGCCACTTCCCTCGTGCCCGCTCGAGAATGGTGCAATTCCAGCATGGCAGCAAATGCCCAACCCGCCATTCCATGCGTGCCCGCTTGAGGACGGTGCACCTCCAGCATGGCAGCTAATGCGTGAGTCCCCCTTCCACGCGTGCCTGCTCGAGGATGTGCACTTTCCGCATGGCAGCTTATGCCTGAACCCTCATTCCATGCGCGCCCGCTCAAGATCCCGCATGGCTGCTAACTCTTAGAGGCCTCATCCCACGATAAGCCGCTCGCAGATCGTGCACTTCGCGCACTCCCAGGCGCTGCTTCCAAGCGGTCCAGGGCTTCCCAAGCCACGATCCCTCGTAACAAAAAATGGATATGCGTTCCGAGCTTACAACACGGCCCGCGCAGGCAACTAAAAACACCAAGATGGCCCAAGTTGCCTCGAAGACGGCCCAAGATGGCCCCAAGGCGGCCGAGTATTGATTCAAGACGGCCCAAGATGTTTCCAAGAGGGCCCAAGATGGCAACAAGAGGACCTCCAACAGGGTCAGAAGAAGCCAACATCACTGAATTCCCTTGGGTTTCTGAATGGATTTCGCATGCTCGACTTTTCGGGCTGGCGTCAGCTCAAGAAGGCCCAAGAGGGCTCGACGATGACCCGAGGGGCATCCAAGACGGCCCCAAGACGGTCCAAGAGGGCCGCCAATGGGACCCTCGACGGCCTTATAAAGCCCTTCGAAGGCCCAAGACGGCGCCAAGACGGCCCCACAACGGCCTCCAGACACCCACCAAACGGCCAAGAGGGCATCAAGACGGCTCAAGGGAACACATAGCTGGCTTAAGAGGGCCCTACGACGGCCCAAAAGAGCTCTAAGGGACCTCAAATCCTGCCTCACAGGAGGCCAAGACCGCCCAACACAGCCCATGATGATGATGATGATGACGATGATGATGATGATGATGATGATGATGATGCTGATGATGATGATAATGATGATGATCATCATCATCATCATCATCATCAGCAGCAGCAGCAGCATCGTCATCATCAGCATCCTCATCATCATCATCAGCAGCAGCATCATCATGATCATGACCATGATCATGATGATGATGATCATCATCAGCAGCATCAGCATCACCATCATCATCAGCAGCACCATCATCATCAGCTTCTTCATCATCACCCTCATCATCATTTGCTGCATCATCACCATCATCATTATCATTATCAATATCATTATCATTATCAGTATCATCAGCATCATCATCATCATCATCATCATCATCATCATCATCATCATCATCATCATAGTCACCATCATCGTCATGGTTACCATCATCAGCATCACCATCATCATCCGATTCATCATACTCATCAGCATCATCATGATGATGATCATCACCATCATCAGCATGATCATCAGCATCATCATCATCAGCATCATTAGCATCATCATTAGAAATCAGCATCACCATCGTCGTCTTCATCATCAGCAGCATCATCATCGGCATCATCGTAATCATCATCATCAGCAGCACCACCATCAGCATCAGCTGCATCTTCATCTCCATCTTCATCCTCATCATCAACAGCAGCAATAGCAGCATCACCATCAGCATCAGCATCATCATCAGCATCATCATCATCATTGTCATCCTCATCATCGTCGTCGTTGTCATCACCATCACAATCACCATCATCATTACCATCACCATCACCATCACCATCACCATCACCATCACCATCACCATCACCATCACCATCACCATCACCATCACCATCACCATCACCATCACCATCATCATCATCATCATCACCATCATCATCATCATCATCATCATCATCATCATCATCATCATCATCATCATTGTCAGCAGCATCAGCATCAGCATCAGCATCAGCATCAACACTAGCATCAGCATCAGCATCAGCGGCAGCATCATCATCGTCAGCAGCAGCATCATCAGCATCATCATCACATCACACACCTACTCTCGGAAGTTCGCGCGGACTTCTTCGATCGTCGCTGTGCCCCTTTCCGGTGGAGCGCGCCAGTGGCGGCGCCAGAGGCGCCGCCAGGGGGCTCCAACGCGAATCCACGAAGTCCTCGCGAACCTCCGAGTCTACTGCCTCTCCTCCTCCTCCTCCTCCGCCTCCTCCTCCTCCTCCTCCGCCTCCTCCTCCTCTTCCTCCTCCTGTGCCGCTTTGTCATCTTCGATGCCGTGGCTCGGGAGAGGCTTGTGCCTCTTGAGGCCTGGTGCTTCTCCCACGGCATAACACGCGGATGGGCTCCCCACGGCGGTGTGCCCTGGCGGCGCGCACACTGGGGGGAGGGGGAGGGGGGAAGGCTTCTTAGAGGGAGGCTGCTTCTCAGAAGGCGCCGGCCTCACATCCATAGACAAGGCCCGCACCTTCTAAGAAGCAGGGGTGCTTCTAAAAAACCTTGCCCCCTCCCCCTACCCCTGTAAAGGGAGGCTGCTTCTCGGAAGGCGCCGGCCTCACATCCACAGACAAGGCCCGCGCCTGCTAAGGAGCAGGGGTGCTTCTAAGAAGCCTTCCCCCCTCCCCCTACCCCCCTCTGCGCATGGTCGACACTCCCTGTCCCAGACATCCGAGGAGGAGGAGGAGGAGGAGGAGGAGGAGGAGGAGGAGGAGGAGGGACAGGAGGAGGAGCAGGAGGAGCAGGAGGAGGAGGAGGAGGAGGAGGAGGAGGAGGAGGAGGGAGAGGAGGAGGAGGAGGAGGAGGAGGAGGAGGAGGAGGCTGGGTCCGTCATATCCCCCCAACTGGAGTCATGAGCAATGTCAATACTTATGACGTGCACAGCCATGGGGCTGCCATCAAGAAGGCGCTCCATGTGCCACTGTATGTCACCCTCCCGCCGAAATCCTGAGAAAAGATGTAGCACAAACATGTGGGCATGAGGCCTCAGTCTTCTGGGCTCCCACACGAGGGGAGCAGGGGGAACCGGGGGCGGTGGTAACGGAGCATGAACAACTTCTTCAGCCTTAGCCTGCCGTCTGGAGAAGGGCACCTTGGGACCAAAGGGGGCCCATATAGGACCCGTGGGGGTTCGCTCGCACAAGCCTCGTGGAGCCCCTTACTGCGATTAGTGGCGGAAGCACGGCGGCATTCTTCTCTCGCCTCCTCTACTTCCACAGGGCTGGGTCTGAAACTGGTTCTCTGCCATGAAAGCAAGCAAGATGGCGAATTGCGCAAGTGTTTTACAAGACGCGGGGTAAGGAAGACATCCTTCAAACAAATGTTGCAGCAGGAACCAGTTGCAATCTCAGAGGGGGAGTCGCCCATCTTGTGGGTCTTGCTAATATGAATATTTTATAATTTTGCAGAGCTGGCAGGGTGTCCACAATGATAACATACATATTGGGCAGGGGGTGGGGTAAGAACGGGGTCAAGTCATGTGCCTTTAATCTCATTGTTGGTGAGTCTTTCCCATACCTGCCCCTGCAAACAATCGTGATAATATGGAAAGATGTGTTACGCTCTGGACGCGTGGCGGCAGTCATTGCTGGCCCCCCATGCGAGTCGTGGTCTGCAGCACGGCATATTCCAGCCCCCCAGTGCCGACGCCCCCCCCCGCCCCCTGAGGTCAGTGGACCATGTGTGGGGGCTAGGGCATCTCACCAGCAGGGAAAGGAAGCAGCTAGATTTAGGCAACCAGCTCTTGCGCACAACTATTAACTTTCTCCAGTTGAGTTGGCTTTATGGAGTCCCTGCCTTGATGGAGCATCCTGCACCGTGCACATGGCGCCACGGGGTCCCCAGTTCCTGGTTTTTACCCCCCCTGAAGAGACTGGCGGCCATGACCGATGTTCGTTGTCATGAAATTCACCAGTGTGAGTTTGGGGGGAGCTCCAAAAAACCCACCAACCTCATGGCTGTGCACATTCCAGCGATGCAACAGTGGCTAAATGGACTTAGAGGGGGAGGAAAGTGCCAGCGTGGCCACACATAGGAGCCTTGAAGGGCTCGACTGCGACGATGTTTGGATTTCGGCCCATGCAAAGACGTACCCTTCCCCCATGTGCGCTTTCATTGCTGCCACTTTGTTAGAATCCGTTCGACTAAGATTCCCACACCTTTGTCAGGCGCCGACGCCCACCAGTTTCCAACCCACTGGGCACGTGTATGACTGGTCCTTGGACCAAGACAAGATATTACGAGACAAGTTGGGTACTGGTGCCTATGATGACGGTTGGGAAATACCTCCAGGGTTACGACCATCCTATACCCCACTAGACCCGTACATGGTTCGAGGGATACACATGGACTGTATGCTGCACCGACCTATCCTACATGGGGTGCTCGAGGACCCACTTTCGCAGTCTGCAATCCTCTTTCCCCCCCCCCCTTTCCTGGCTCCCCCTGGCTGACACAACAGACTTTGAGCCTGCCCGTACATGGTTCGAGGGATACACATGGACTGTATGCTGCACCGACCTATCCTACATGGGGTGCTCGAGGACCCACTTTCGCAGTCTGCAATCCTCTTTCCCCCCCCCCCCTTTCCTGGCTCCCCCTGGCTGACACAACAGACTTTGAGCCTGTACGGGGGCCTAGGCGAAGGGCCGGGCACAGAAGGAGAGCCGCGCCCACGCAGGCGCCGCATGTGTTACGCTCACGTTAAAAAAAAACAGTATGTGCCTGGTGCAAAAGATCTCGATATGTTGCTCGACGAGGTCAGTGGCCCGACCTCCGTGGGTGAAGGATTCTTGCCCAAATGTTCTACCCCTTTCCCATCTTCCTTCTTACAGTGTGCGCCCACTTTATAAAGGCAGTAGCCCTTGCTCTGTGTCTGCTTGGGGATCAGGCTGTTGGGGGATTGACTGGATCGGGATTGGGATTTTATGGATATCCTGAGCAGACGGTCTGTCTTCGTGGCGGCATCTCTCGTTGCGCTGCGCCACCTGCGCCGACTGGTGCAGGCAGGAGCTTGCGTGTGCTTGCCGCGAGCTGCTGCCGCCGCTGCCCCTCCTGTTCTCTTACCATCCACTGTGGCTAGGCTTCGACGCTCCGCCTTCGACCGAACCGAACCGAACCGAGGAGGAGGAGGAGGAGGAGGAGGAGGAGGAGGAGGAGGAGGGAGAGGAGGAGGAGGAGGGAGAGGAGGAGGAGGAGGAGGAGGAGGAGGAGGAGGAGGAGGAGGAGGAGGAGGAGGAGGAGGAGGAGGAGGAGGAGGAGGAGGAGGAGGGAGGAGGAGACGAGACGGCGAGAACCGCTGCTGCCCCCAGTTCAGCGACACGCCCGCTCCCTTCGAGAGGAAGACCTCGGGGCAGAGCCCCTGCGCGGGCCTGTGCTCGGGGCCCTCCTTGTCCAGACTCACGGGCTTGCCGTTCACCCAGAAGCTGGCCGCGCCAGTGTCGGCGTCGAGGAGGCACCCAAGGACGTCCCCCCTTGGGGCAGGAAGCAAACCCTCAGATCTGGGCGCTGCCTTTTCTTTCCGCGCCGGGCGGTTTCGCCCACTCTCGGGCCCCGGGGCCATCACAGATCGAGCCAGGTGGAAACATGCAGCAGAAAGCTGGTGTCTGGTGCTTGCTCTGGTCGAAACGCCTCTCGATGCTGCAAAAACAAAAACGCAACCTCGGATCTCATGGACAGGTCCTCTGCGGGAAACGGGTCCTGGACCCCACGGCTTTCCCCCAGGGCCGGCGCTTCATCCTGGGGCCGCTCTGGGGTCCGCGCAGGTGGGGCCAGAAGATCGAACCGCATGGCCGACGCATCGCCGGCGCGTCGGCGCAGCATCGGTGGCGCATCGGGCGCCACACCGAGCCGCATCGCCGGTGCGTCGGCGATGCGGGGCGGCGCACCCGTCCACATCCGCTTCGACGGCGTTTGGGCAGCCTGGGCCTGCTCAGCGTCGAGGACACGCCTGCCGCCCCGTGCCTGTGGCGCACAGACAGCTCCCTCCGCTCCACGGCCTCGAACAGGGAGTCCTGGTCGTCCTCGTCCTCCACGCCGAGGTCCTGGGCAAACTTCTTCAGCGCCAGGCCGTGCAGGTCCCGCGCCCGCTCGTGCTTCTGGTCGATCACGTGCGGCCCGCCCTCGGCCGCAGGGTCCACGAACCCCACGGACAAGCTGCTGCCCACGAGCACCAGGTCCTGGAATCGGCACGCGAGCGAGCACCCGTTGTCGAACGTCAGGTTCACGCTGTCGTCCTTGCTGAGCGTCTGCCTCATGGTCGCGTGCGCGCCTCCGGAGAGACCCTCGTACCTTGAACCAGGCTTGATCATCACCCTGTCGCCCGCGCGCAGCGCACCCTCGTCACCCTGCGGGGCGTCGCCGGCCAGCTCGAAGTACCACGCGCCGGAGGAGACGGTGAACTGCTGGAAGACGAGGAAGCTGGACTCCTCGCCGCTGCGCACCGCGCCGCCTGTCCACCTCTGGGGGAACCAAGAGGTACCCATGTCGGGGTGCGTTCTGACCAGGACTTCGAGGCGAATCCAGCGGTGGCGACGAGGGCCTCCCAGGAGGCCCAGATAGGGGAAAACGGGGCGAGGGGTAGCGGTACAGCGGAGGCCAGTCCGCAAGAAACCTTCCACAAGAAACCCAACCCTGACCCCCCAGGACGTCCAGTGACTTTGTGGCATGGGAAAGCCACACTTTCCATCGCAACACCACCGAAGTCCAAGAAACCCAGGGCACCCTGGAGGCAAGCAGGGTGTGTCTTGGCACGGGCCTCCACTGTGTGGGCACCTTGCCCCCCTCCGAACCTCAGGTCGTGCGAGGCGAAGCCGGGGCGCAGCGCCACGGGCTGCGCGATCGCCCGTGCGGACCAGGTGCCGACGACGCCCTGGCCGGGGCCTGGCGCCGTGGCGCCGGGGTCCTCCCGGCCCCCCTTCTCAGGGCGGCGGCATCTGCACACTCAAGTCCACCGCCCCTGGCCAGGCCCACGTCCAGGGCCCAGGGGCTCAGTAATCATAAAGATATGTTTGTATGTTGCATGTATGTATGCATGCATGTATGCATGCATGCATGTATGTATGTATGTAACTAAGTATGTATGTATGTCTGTCTGTCTGTCTGTCTGTCTGTCTGTCTGTCTGTCTGTCTGTCTGTCTGTCTGTCTGTCTGTATGTATGTATGTACGTATGTACGTATGTACGTATGTACGTATGTACGTATGTACGTACGTACGCACGTACGCACGTACGCACGTATGCACGTATGCATGCATGCATGCATGCACTGGTGGTGGAAAATGCGCCCACCGTCGAGGGTGTGCAGCCCCCGCCGCCCGAGACCTCTGCGCCCTGCAGCACGGTGCCCCCGGTCAGCTGCCCCTCCGCGACCGCGGCGCTCCAGGCGGTGCCCGACCACAGGCTCCCGGGTGGGCCCCCCTCGCAAGACGAGGCCAGGACGAGGGCAACATCGGGTGAGAAGAAGTCGAGAATCTCAGGAGGAGGAGGAGGAGGACCAGGAGGAGGAGGAGGAGGAGGAGGAGGAGGAGGAGGAGGAGGGAGGAGGAGGAGGAGGAGGAGGAGGAGGAGGGGAGGGGGGGGGGAGGGGGGGGGGAGAGGGAGGAGGAGGGGGCAGGGGGAGTGGTTTCGAAATGCGCCACCCGCAATGCTCCCGCCCGCAGTGGACGGATTCCGTCCGCTCTGGAGCTGTGCCCAGGAGGAGGAGGAGGAGGAGGAGGAGGAGGAGGAGGAGGAGGAGGACCAGTGTAAACCCAAGAGCCATCAAGGATGTTGGAATAAACGCCCCCTCCAAGCTTCCTCTTTATAGGCCCCTACCACGGTCCATTTCCATTGAAGGAACTGCCTCGTTGGAAGACAACTTTTTGAAGACCCTGAAGCATGCCCAAACATCGTTCTCGGGATTCCAACGCCACGGATCAACCTGACCGTTGCGTGGTAGCGATCCTGAATCGCGTCAGAATGCCATTCTTGGGTCCTCCACACCTCGAATGAACGTAACTGTTGCACCCTCGTAATCCAGAATCCTTCCAAAATACATTGTCTGGTACTTTGATCATGGGAACCCGTTGAACTCTGGAAAAGGTTTGAAACGAATGTGCGCGACGCTAAGGCGGGAACCACATTTTGAAAAGGAGCCGCCCTCAATCCGTGAAATTCTTGCAAATCTAGAGAGCATGATCAACCCACGAACCCGGAAAGGAATATAGAACTGTAACACATGGCAGCGTTTTCAAAGACACCTGATTGGGTGACGGGCAACTGCAACGCTGCGTGTATCGATCTTGATGTACCCTGCCGAGGGCTGTGCTGTGCTGCACCGTGCTGAATTGCGATGTGCCATGGCGCAATTGTGCTCTATAGCGTCATGGATCGAGTCCTCCTTTGCATCCGAGTCCTGACCGAACTGATCTGGATCATAAGCTTGAGCTGCCTGAACACATAGTAGCTGCCCCAGAGCTGATGGACAAGGGAACATGCCAGGAGGACGCGCCGCGAAACGTCCCAAAGGATGGCGCCAGGCGGCGTGCCAGGGGACGTGTCATGGGGTCGCACCGCCGAACGTGCCAAAGGGACGCGCTACGGAACGTGCCAATGGATGTGCCACGGGATGTGCCAGGGGACGCGCCACGCGACGTACCAGGGAGACTCGCCAAGGGACACCCCACGGAACGTGCCAAGGAACGTGCCAAGTTGCAATGCTGAGTGTATCGATCTTGATGTACCGTGCCGAAATCTGTGCTGTGCTGCGCCGTGCTGAATTGCGATGTGCCATGCCGCGATTGTGCTCTATAGCCTCGTGGATCGAGTCCTCTTTGCATCCGAGTCCTGACCGAACTGATCTGGATCTTAAGCTCGAGCTGCCTGAACACATAGTAGCTGCCCCAGAGCTAATTGACAAGGGGACATGCCAGGAGGACGCGACGCGGAACGTCTCAAGGGACCCGCCAAGCGACGTGCCAAGGGACGTGCCATGGGGACGCACCGCGGGACGTGCCAAGGGGACGCGCTACGGAGCGTGCTGGGGACAAGCGTTTCGCTCGAGACATCCTGCCAACATCCTCAGAATTCCTGCGCGCGGGACGCGGCACGCGCGAGACATCCTCGGAATTCTCGCGAGCGGGACGTGAAAACAAGCATTTCGCCTGAGACATCCTCCGAATTCTGGACCCCCGCGAGGCCCCCCACGAGGCCCCCGCTCGAGACATCCCCCAATTTTGCAAAACCAGCGTTTCATTCGAAACGTTTTCAACAAATCATGAAAGACAAGCATTTCGCACGAGACATCCTGCCAAAATTCAAGGAAATCCTGGCAAAACGAACGAATTAGTCGAGACATCCTCGAAATTCCTGCGCGCGGGACGCGGCGCGCGCGAAACATCATCGGAATTCCTGCGCGCGGGGCGCTTTTCCGCGTCGCGGTCGGCTCTGCTAAACCAGCGTTTCGCTCGAGACATCCTCAACAAATTCTGAAAACAAGCGTTTCGCTCGAGACATCCCCAACTCTGCAAAACCAGCGTTTCGCTCGAGACATCCTCAACAAATTCTGAAAAACAAGCGTTTCGCTAGGGACATCCTCAAAAATAATTCCGCCGGCCCTCTTCCCGCACGTAATTTATCGCAGAATAATTCCGCCGGCCCTCTTCCCGTCGATTCCGGGGGCAAACTTCTATAAGAGAGCCCTGGGCCCAAGCCCTTTCCGGGAAAAACATGATGGACCCACGAACCCGGAAAGGGATATAGACATGTGGAGCATGGACACGTTTTCATGATACCCAACTGGGCAACACCTCACGAAACATCCCACGAGACACCTCACGAAACAGCCCACGAGACACTCACGAAACATTCCACGAGACACCTCACGAAACATTTCACGAGACACCCCGCGAAACATTCCACGAGACACCCCACGAAACATTCCACGACGACAGGCAACCACTCAACCAAAGGGGGTGTGGTCGTGCTGGGGTGTGGTCGTGCTGGGGGTGGTCGTGCTGGGGGGTGGTCGTGCTGGGGGGTGGTCGTGCTGGGGGGGTGGTCGTGCTGGGGGTGGTCGTGCTGGGGCGTGGTCGTGCTGGGGCGTGGTCGTGCTGGGGCGTGGTCGTGCTGGGGTGTGGTCGTGCTGTGGTAAGGTCGTGCTGGGGTGCGGTCGTGCTGGGGTGTGGTCTTGCTGGGGTGGGGTCGTGCTGGGGTGTGATCGTGCTGGGGTGGGGTCGTGCTGGGGTGTGGTCGTGCTGGGGTGTGGTCGTGCTAGGGTGGGGTCGTGCTGGGGTGGGGTCGTGCTGGGGAGTGGTCGTGCTGGGGTGTGGTCGTGCTGGGGTGTGGTCATGCTGGGGCGTGGTCGTGCTGGGGTGGGGTCGTGCTGGGGTGGGGTCGTGCTGGGGTGGGTTCGTGCTGGGGTGCTCCGCACCCTGTGATTTATCGATCGGGTCGTGCTGGGGTGTGGTCGTGCTGGGGTGTGGTCGTGCTGGGGTGTGGTCGTGCTGTGTGTTCGTGCTGGGGTGTGGTCGTGCTGGGGCGTGGTCGTGCTGGGGCGTGGTCGTGCTGGGGTGTGGTCGTGCTGTGGTGTGGTCGTGCTGGGGTGTGGTCGTGCTGGGGTGTGGTCTTGCTGGGGTGGGTCGTGCTGGGGTGTGGTCGTGCTGGGGTGTGGTCGTGCTGGTCGTGCTGAGGTGGTCGTGCTGGGGTGTGGTCGTGCGTGCTGGTGGTGTGGTCTTGCTGGGGTAGGGTCGTGCTGGGTGGGTCGTGCTGGGTGTGTCGTGCTGGGGTGTGGTCGTGCTGGGTGGGGTCGTGCTGGGGTGGGGTCGGCGGGGGCTGGTCGTGCTGGGGTGGTCGTGCTGGGGTATGGTCGTGCTAGGGTGGGGTCGTGCATTTCGCTCGAGACATCCTGCCAAATTCCAGGAAATCGTACAAAAACAAACAAATTAGTCGAAACATCATCGAAATTCCTTCGCGCGGGGCGCTTTTCCGCGTCGCGGTCGGCTCTGCAAAACAAGCGTTTCGCTCGAGACATCCTCGGCAAACTCTGCGGAGCAAGCGTTTCGCTCGAGACATCCTCAACACACGAAAAAGTGGCCCGCACCCTGTGATTTATCGATCGGGATTTCAAAAACAAGCGTTTCGCTCGAGACATCCTCAAATTTTAATTCGCCGGCCTCCTTCGACCTCGTTATTTATCAGGGAAAAAATTCGCCGGCCTCCCTCAAGTTGGCACCGGGGGGAAGGGTTTACCCACTAAAAGAGAACCCTGGGCCCACGCCCTTTCCGGGAAAAAACCATAGCTTCCTGCTTCTAGCCACACAAGTTCTGCTTTCATGTCTGCACCGTTTTTGCATCCGCCCGCGGTCTACGAGGGAGGAAACGGGGAGAGGGAGGGGGGCACAAAAGAAATCGAGCAGCACGAAAAGCAAGCAAAGGAGCACAAATAAGGCTAGCGATAAGAACGCTGAAAACCCGTTAGAGCGAGACCAGATCGAGAGCATACCCAGAGGGCAGCGCAAGTCCTCTCACCTCGCCCCAATGAGTTTTCAGCGTCGCTCGCCCTGCTCCAGCTCCCGAACCTGCCCTTCTGGCCGCGACAACCAGATACACTTCGAAACCTAGATCCTCGAACCTCGGTCCTCCGATCTCGAGCCTCGAACCTCGATCCTTCAACTTCCGTCGAAGGCGACCGTGACGACGGCGGCAACGACGACGACGAAAACGACCTCCGGAGGTCGCCGGCGAACCGCCGGAGGTCTTAGGATGCCTCGGCCCCTGGGGCGGGCCCAGCGGGAGGAGGAGGCAAAGGAGGAGGCAAAGGAGGAGGAGGAGGCAACATGATCGACCCACGAACCCGGAAAGGAATATAGAAATGTAAAGCATGGCAACGTTTCAAAGACACCTGATTGGGCGACGGGCAAATGCAATGCCGAATGTATCGATTTTGATGTACCGTGCCGAGGGCTGTGCTGTGCTGCGCCGTGCTGATGCTGAACTGCGATGTGCCATGCCGCGATTGTGCTCTATAGCGTTGTGGATCGAGTCCTCCTTTGCACCCGAGTCCTGACCGAACTGATCTGGATCTTAAGCTCGAGCTGCCTCAGCACATGGTAGCTGCCCCAGAGCTAATGGACAGGGGGACATGCCAGGAGGACGCGCCGCGGAACGTCCCAAGGGACGCGCCAGGCGACGTGCCAGGGGACGTGCCACGGGACGCACCGCGGGACGTGCCGAGGGGACGCGCTACGGAAAGTGCCAATGGACGTGCCAATGGACGTGCCAGGAGACGCGCCGCGCGACGTGCCAGGGGGACTCATCACAGGACGCGCCACGGAACGTGCCAGGTTGCAATGCTGAGTGTATCGATGATGATGTACCGTGCCGAGGCCTGTACTGTGCTGCGCTGTGCTGAACTGCGATGTGCCATGCCGCGATTGTGC